CCCAAAAGGAGAGCCTCACATTTTATTATGTTCCATCCATCCATTCCAATGACCTAATTTCATCAATAGAAAGAAGGTGCTGCAACTGCAGGTGGTTGTGCGGTAGAGTTGGTGGCAGGCTGCCGTTGATGGTGGTTATTGGTGGCAATGGAAGGCCAGGATGCACCAGCACGTAAGGTGATGGTGATTGTGGACCCAACCCGTGAATCAGCGGTAGCTCTTCAATACGCTCTCTCACATGCAGTGTTAGAAAAAGACACCCTAATTCTATTCCATGTTGAAAACAGTAATGTATGGAAAAATCCCTTTGGTTCATTTTTTAGAAAGCACACCACGCAGTCGGCTGGCTCGGGAGGCACCGCCTCCTCATCTTCGTTGGAAGCTAGTGGAGGAATTATGGAATTTCTTGAAGCAATGAAGCATGCTTGTGAAATTGCTCATCCAAAGTTAAAGATTCTTGTAAGGAAGGCAGACATGGTGGATGGAAAGGACAAGGCTTCCATAATTCTTGCACAAACCATAGCTCAAAAAATTGATCTTCTTGTTATTGGGCAGCGGAGGAGTCTATCTAATGCGATATTAGGGTGAGTTTTCTGAATTTCATATTTTCTTGAGAAGCACAATCAAACCTTATAGACCTAGTATTAGCTAGGTTCGGGAATCCATAACAAGCACTATTCGCTTGGGCCTTATGTCGAATATTCCCTTACGTATTAAGCCCGCTCTCTTGTTCATGCCCTGATCTGCATCATCTTCAATTCGCATGCATAACAAGAAAATTACGGTGGTGTTTTATGAAAAGATTTTCCAACGCTTGCATTGTATTCGTCAGCAAGATGTCTAGTTTTAATATGGAAACGACATTGCATATCGCTTTATCTTTCTGATAATAACTACATGAAAATATGAAGAATTCTCGAGAAACTAATAAAGCTTATAGATGAAAACATTTTCTTGCAACAAACATTTTTACATTTTTACAATCAAATTAAATAATGTTATTGGATTTGTAATGTTGACCAGGCATAAACGAGGATCACTAAGAGGGCTAGATACAGCAGAATATTTGATTGAGAACAGCAAATGCACCTCTGTTGCAGTACAGAAGAAGGGTCAAAATGCTGGATATCTTCTCAACACTAAAACACAAAAAAACTTCTGGCTCTTAGCATAGGCACTTTACATGGATCCTGTCAACTTGTACCAGTTGTAATCATTGTTTCTCACCCTCTTTGCAGTTTGTTCTCTCTTTTTTTTTTTTTTTCTTTCTTGAAATCAGTTTACTCGTTTCTAAGTTCTTATGTTGCAATAGAGATAGTTTGGTTTGTTTCTGCAACATACAGGGGATTATTGTTAGCTGATCTACTAGGATTAATCAATAATATGTTTTTCATTACCCAAATACATTTTCAACAATAATCCCAATGTTTTAAAAAATTGGTAATCCGCATCAGTTTGGAATATGTAGAGGGAGATGATAAAAAAAAAGTCAAACTAAAGTCCAAACGGTTGTAAAAAATATTTAATAAAATAAAAAAATTAAATATGAATAAACGAGTTTATTGACTTGTGTCTAACAATTCTTATTTTGAGAATTTCTACAAAACTACACCAGTTCCTTGTCGTTAGGTCAAACTTGAGAGTTGTGACTGGCTTTGACAACATTGATAATCCATCAAACTTGAGAGTTGTATCTGGAGGATTTTCCTTGCTATCAATGAAAGTTCCAAACTTCTGTTACGTTCCACTCTAACATCATAAACTATCATATAAAAGTTTAGGTTGGTCATTAAAATCTGCTCAGTCCGTGACCCTTTGATTTCCCACAAGTGAATAGGATCATGAATAATTAATAAAGTGAGTGTCGAACCCATGAGAACAATTTGTTTGACCAAGTTAAAATTAATTGCAACTTTAATCGAATAGCAAACAATTTTGTGATTTTTCTACACTATTCATTAAATTATCAACTAAACCAATGAAAGTAAGTAAATGTGTTTTTCAAATATATGAGATGCATTGCTAAGATATCGAATCTCCTTTATTATTTCATTTTTAGTGTAACAATTAAAGTGACAATTTTAAATTATTCACATTGGTCAATGTTCCTAATTTAATTGAAAACATCTCTTGATAGTGATCAAATTTATTCCTCCCATGTGATCCTAATAGATCAATGAAAGATACACGTATGATAAATGCATTAACAAGTGTTAGAACACCTATTGAAACCATATAAAGCATAGATGTATATTTTTATCGAACCTTATAATATTTATTATACTTTGATTAAACCCTATTGTCTATCTTGATAACAATAAAATTCACTAACAATTCAATTGGTGATTAAGCAATTGAAAAGAACGATAAAACGATAAAAGCATTCACAAATCAAACCAAATTAAGTCAAAATAATTAATTAAAAACTAAAAATATCGTAATAATGGTTCATCTCATCTTAATAATGTATAAAATTAGCCTACTATATTGAAATTACAAGAAATCATATTTAAGTGGAAAGATATAACCCGAATTTTTGAGAAATTGAGAAGACGAAGATGAATCTTGAAATCATGAATCTTTTCAATGGTTTTTTGATGAATCTTCACTTGCACATTCTCTCCTTTGTCCAAAAATTAAGTTTGAATCTTCACTTGATTGAATGCTTGCAAGTCCCTTTCAATTTTCTCACAAAAATTATGAATTTTCATCATTTGATAATAATAATTGATGAATATTGGAATATAATATGTATAAGAGGTGCTTAATATATATTCTATTGTTAGGTATTTTTAGAAGTATAAAATTGGTTGAAAATCACGTCCAAGTTCATTTTCAAAAGAGTTCCAATTGAATAAGGAAAGTTGTATTCGCGCATACATGTTTATTGTCTCTACACAATTGTTAGTATTTTGGTCATAACTTTATCTCTCAATATCCGATTGAGGCAATACAAAGTGAGTTGAAAAGCTAACTCAAAGAGTTACAACTTTGCTAGAAATAAAATTTTTGCAATTCGATCGTCGCCTAAAAATCTTCAATATAACTTGTGCGATTAAAAATTGATTTTGATATTATTTTGATCACATTTGATTCATTTTTGATTTCTAATTTCATCCAATTATCTCCTAGCAGTCTTCCGAATAAACTATTGAGTATTTACAATTTGGTCCTCAAACATTGGATTTCATCTTTTTCACCAATTTTTGCTTATTTCTTTCAATTTCTCCTTCAACAATTGGGATTAGCTATATAAAATAAAATACAAACCATTCAATTCAAGTATCAACCCATTTCAATTTGAGGAAATTAGGTTTCAATTCAACCCTTCCTAGTTCCTTCACGTCCAAATGTCCTCCGCGTGACCGCCTCCTTCCTTCACATCTTAAACCTTAATCCACCTCATTCCTTCACCGCTTCATGTACTCCGCCAGTCGTAGCTCACCTAATCCGCCAGTTTTTGTTTCATCCATGAAATTTTCGTGTTAAAACTCTTTTGCTTTGTGGGTTTCATCAAGATCAATTTTTGTTTCATCGATCTAATTTTCTCGCTCCAGGTACAAGTGCATTATGTCTTTCTCTAAATATTTTAACATAAATGTTATTATGATGTCTTTAATAGTGATGCATTTATATATATATTTTTTTTGTGTGTAGAATAACAGGTACGAAATGGCCAAATGGGCCTTTCTTTAGATGAGCTTTTGAGATGAAGAGATTGGAGAAAATGTTTGATTTTGCTAGAAGTTTGTTTCATCCACCTTTTGCTTCACTTCTTGAGATCTAAAGGTGGGTGTGTCCATTTTCATGGTAATTGTGCTTTTTCTTGGCTTGAAATTCAAGTGTTTGCAAAAATGTCGTATTTAATGATTTTTGTTTTTTTAATTGTCATCTGGGCCATACTAGGCACTTAATAGAAGTATTAGAGTTCTAATTTTTCAATTCTTGGATCATATTAGATATTCAGAATGAGTTTTTTATGTTAAAGTTCTAAATTTTTAGTTGAGTTCATGCATTTCTTGCCAACAAAGTGCACGGAAAATTGGATTTTAGGAATTTTTTTTTTAATCTCAAGAAATAGGTATGATCTTCATTTAGTAGTAGATCTCACTTTTGTGTTCAAGAATAAATTAGAATTATTCATTTTGGTTTGGGGTTTTTTCTTTCAAATCTGATTTATGATTTTCCAAATGAAATTTAATTTTGTTCATCTTAAACACAATTGAAAAAGATTAACAGTTCTAAGCAGTGGCTAAAAGTATAAATTTTTGTTCAAGTGGAATATTTTCTGCCTTCATATTGCATTGAAATAATATTGGTGCATGTAATTGAATGCTATGCTTATAAGTATTATACTTGCGATCATGTTTTAGTTTATTGATGTGTTTTATTTTTCTCTATTGTGTGTAGAAAATTCTGCTCCTTCATTATACTCCGGAGCTTGTGCGAGGTTTAGTGAGGAGGACATTGATGAA